TATGTCATTCTGTGTGTCTGTCTGTGTGTCTGTCTGTCTGTCTATCTATCTATCTATCTATCTATCTATCTATCTGTCAGTCTGTCTGTCAGTCTGTCAGTCTGTCAGTCTGTCTGTCAGTCTGTCAGTCTGTCTATCTTTTGGCTTTTGCACAATTCTGTTGCTGTTTTGCGTTGCCACTTGATGTCAGATATAAAATGTAGGCCCTGAAGCAAAACCGCTGCACTAGATAACGTCTCTGATGAATAGAAAAGGCATTCACAACAGCAGACAAGAACATCATATATGATTTACATGCAACACGAGGATCATTCATGATTCACAGCATCGCAGCACGTTAAATCATTCAAGCGCATCACAACCAGCGCACCTTTCTTCACTAGAGCAGAGCAACACATGAGGGAAAACACATTAACATTTCACGATATGATGACACCATGAGGGGGTCTCAGCGGATCCATCCCACAGTCACTCATGTGAGGAGAAACAAATGAGAATAAGACGAGACGTACCATGTGGTAGTTGACAATCTCCTGCAAACCCTCGCCACACTTTTCCAGACAATCCTGTAAAAACAAGAACAGGTCAGAATCATCATAATTCAAATTAGGTTTTCATGATCAAGACCAAAATTAATTATGCGGTACTGGTAATTCAATCTCATGTTTGTTCTCATATCAACATCTATTAATATTCTGGCCCACGTAGAGTCGGTCCGACAAGGAAAACAAGTCCCGCTGAGCGTGCAACAGCTTTTGTCAAAATGGAAATGTAATTGCGGGTCTGACTAGATGTTTTTACAGTGGAAAATGCAAATAGCAGCAGGTTTTAATAAGATGCTCAACATTAGTCAGCTGGGTACAATAGAAGAGAAGCCAGAAAGACTCTTAACAGCATTTACAGATGGCGGCAATGAGTCTAACCCTACTGGCACTATTGACAGAGAGAAAGGCGAGCGTACAGGAGCCCCGGCCTGCTTCTTTTTGACTAAATCCATGTCTAATCAGGGTCAAAGAGTGTCTGAGAGACTCAAAACAGCAGCCTGACGCCCTCATGTCAGTGAGTCTGCCAGTAAAGAGCTCACAATTAAAAGCAGACGCACGTCTAGGGCTGAGAATCTAGAAAAAAATTACTAGTGATTTATGGTGTACAGTTTTGTTAACAGTTCTTGAACGACTACAGTGTTTTTCTACAGCACCACAGCAAAAGAATGTGATGAGAGAAATATTGAGTGCCACAAAATACTTGGCTATACATTTTCCTATTGCAATCTCTCACAGTGAGGTCTGATTAATGAACGACTTCTTTTTAATAAATTGATCCAAAAGAATTTATAAATAATACATTTGAGAGAATTTGATTGAATCAGCCTAATATGTATGCTTGTATGTATGTATGTAAGTATTTATTTATTTATTAATTGAATTTTAATTTAAATGTAGTTGTTATTGTAAATTTGGATTTTTTTGGTAATAAATGGTAGACCTATTTAAATAAATAAATGAAACAATACATTTAATAAAATGGATATTAATATAATAAAAAATCTAAATTATTCAATTATTATTACTATTATTATAATAAATAATAATAATATAAATAATACATAATAAATACAATAAATAATAAAAAATAGTTTTAAAATAATAGTAATTAATATATAATTAAAAATGTAATAAAAATAGATAAAATAATTGAATTGTGGCTCTGTTGCATCACGTCATTGGCATTGCTTGCGGCTTGCACCAACACAGGCATCAACCAATCATATCGCCTTATGCAAATACCCTAGTGCAGACGCTAGCCAGCCTCTAGTTTACTTTGACTGAGTGATGTCAAGCGTTGGCAAAATGAATTGTCGGTCCGTCGCGTAGTGTTGGGTCCATTGCTCGCAGCAAAAGTTGAAAACTTTTTTCCAATCAGATCGCCTTATGCAAATACCCTAGTGCAGACGCTAGCCAATCGCATTCATGCAACACCGGAAATGTAATGTGATTGGCTGTTGTCACTATGTCGGTCGCGTGAATCTTCAGACACACCCTCCGTCAAGCGTTGACGCCGATGCCCCGTGTGAATGCACCGTTACAATTCCCATTTTGACCCTCATTATCAGACTGGATAGACAAAGCAAAATGATAGACAAAACACACGCACACACATGTATATGTAAAAATATTACCGATATCATCTGGTCCTTCTTGCACTGCTGGGATAGGTCACGGATGCCGTTGATAAAGAGCTTGTTAGCAGTGACATATGCTTTCCCAGCTTCAATCATACCACCACACAACTTTACCAGCTATTAAAAGAAAACCAGAGAGAGAAACAGTTTAGCATAAGACACAATAAATCATCTATGCATAATGCGTTTTAGAGTATCAGCAGACACTTAAAGTCTTAATCATAACCTTAATTGTGCTGAGAAAGCAGAATATTAAAACCTCTTGATATTTAGCAGCAAAACACAATCATTTAATGAAATATTGATAATGTTGAGTGTGATGTTATATTTACTACCTCATATTCTAATACAGTTCCTTACTGTAATCACACTTCTGTGAGGAGTCAAAATTATCCATGCAGTGCATTTAAATAAACATTAGGTTAACCAAAACTTGAAATATTTCTTTAAATCACACAAACACACACACAACAGGTGTGGTCTCATCTGTGCAGTATTTCTCCTCACTAATGTGCCAATTACTAGTTCCCACATGTAAAGGCCAAGGCAAAAATGTCCCACTTTGGCACATGCCACACATCCCAGACTCAGCGGAGGGCTTTCACATGTGGTTGTGTGTTTGCTTTATGCCTGATGGGACACATTCTCAGATGGGCTCCATGTGTCTGTCCCTGTGTTAGGAGTCAAACCCGAACCAGAGCCCAATGTTTAGTTCCTTTTTCTTCCTGTATTGTTCTTTCTTCTGTATTTTATCTTCCTCTTTCTTACCTCAGTTGCCGTTTCGATTGCGTCCACACACGCAGCCAGCTGAAAATATAGGTTTGGGAAAATCTCTTAATTTCCCACACTCTCCTCATGAATCAAACTAACAAACACAGAGACCCTTGTTCTACACAGCTGCTGATCAGACCCACAGACTCCACATCTGAACAGCCAGACGCGAGAACTAACAAGAAATTGTCATGCAAAAATAGATCGAAATACATCATTTACTGTTTGTCCAGTCTGTGAATATCAAGTTTAAGGTAAGTTTCCTAAGATTCCTTTTCAGTGTGACTTCTCCACCAGTGTTCTTGGAGAAAAAGCACATGAGATCATAGGTCTGTGCTGAAGCTGTTGTTTTGCTGAGCCTGCTGAACTTATCAAAAGTTGCACGTTGTTGTGATTAAGATGCATGGAAACACTAAACAACAACAAACAACTCAACCAAATGCATAAGAGACCAATACATTTCTCTGCATCACTAGAACTTGCACAATTGGTGGCTGACTAAATACTTTTTTCCCCCACTATATATATATATATATATATATATATATATATATATATATATGCTAATCAGTAAATTGCACTAACTATAAAACATAAAAACATATCAAACATAAAAATGAATAAAAATAAAAATATTTCTAATATAAATTTTATGTAATTTGTTTTAAAATCCTAATAATTTAGGAATAAATAAATACCAAAGAAGACTTTTAAAGGTGTAATATGGATTGACAGCTGTCACTCAAAGTTTTCAGGAACAGATGGACATCTGTTAGCGGATGAACACTTCTTTAAAGATTATTTCACCTTCATCTTCTCATGAATGGTCTTTTTTTCAGATTTAAAATGTATAACCATATAAGGGAATGTGTGTATATTTTTAGATAAACTTGCAACTGGCCACCATTTCTTGCCATCATTTTTGTATTAATATGAGGGCAATTTAATTAATATAAGACAACTTTTACTCATATTAAATTAGTATAAAGTAGGGTTGTGACGGTGAGGAAATTTTCCCACCGGATAATCGACGTGTGACAACACCTGTAATACCGGTATCACCGCGGGGGCGGGGCGTTCCCTCTTTTCCTCGCTTTCCTTCGCTTTTAAATAGCGTGCACATTTTACTTTCACTTTCAGATAGCGGCAATTCGGAGTAAAGCAATTGTTCGTTTTTAGTTTGTTTGAATTTTCCCTCTTTTCCTCGCTTTCCTTCGCTTTTAAATAGCGTGCACATTTTACTTTCACTTTCAGATAGCGGCAATTCGGAGTAAAGCAATTGTTCGTTTTTAGTTTGTTTGAATTTTCCCTCTTTTCCTCGCTTTCCTTCGCTTTTAAATAGCGTGCACATTTTACTTTCACTTTCAGATAGCGGCAATTCGGAGTAAAGCAATTGTTCGTTTTTAGTTTGTTTGAATTTTCCCTCTTTTCCTCGCTTTCCTTCACTTTTAAATAGCTTAAAAGCGCCGTGCGCATTTTATGTTCACTTTTGAATTAGCGGCAGTTAGGCATCAATTGCTTGAATGCAACAACAAAATACAACGTCAAACTCACTTTAGCCTATATATAAAACATAGAACTTTTATAAACAAAACAAAAATACACCATGCTATAGGGCAGGCTATGCCTAATATAAAATAACAAATAACTTATTTTATAACGTTTAAATGTACAAAACTGGAAACAAGTAAACATGTATAATATATAACCAAATAAATAAGAAACGTAGAACGTTTATTAGCAAAACGAGTAAGAAATCTTTGAGGCACGGCATACACCTTGATGTCAAATAAAATAAATAAATGACACAAAGTTTAACTAAAGTAAAAAACTGCAAACAATGTGGAACCAATTAAATAAGAAATTAATGTTTAAAAAAACTTCCAAAATCACCTTAGATAAACGGCAAAAGCCAACAGGCTTTTCAAAATCCAAAATATTGCCAAACAGGCGCTTTTGCAACTAGTTTCGAAACTAAATCATCCGCGATCTTCTTGTCTGTCTCACCTCACCTCACTCTTCTTGTCAGTCGGCTGGACTCACTCTCCTCACTGGAGAAATGAAATCTGATCTGTGATGCGACTGTCGTTCAACTGCATTGAGCAGCCACGTTCAGTTTTTAATTGTAGTGTCTGTTCTCTTACTGAACTAAATTATTTTTATTACTATAAAAAATCTAAACGACGGTGGGGGTCGGTGACGCAGTGGGCAAGTGACGTAACTTTAGGCTTAACACCGGTATCACCGTCAGCACCATCTATCGCGGCAAGCCTAGTATAAAGTAAATATAAAAAGATCACAAAAACAGAACAATCTAAAAATTATAAATATACAAATAATATAAATACATAATTATTTGATTGGTGGCAAATTGTCCAAACTCAGCAAACTCAACTCATCACCATTTCTTGACATCCTTTTTGTATTAATATGAGGTTGATTTAATTAATATAAGGCACATGTAATTTATGTTAAATTGGCATAAAATAACTATTATGCATTTAGGTTTTGTGATCTTTTTAAAAATAAAATTAAATAAAATAGCCCAAAGGCTAGTGTCTTGGGAGCACTAGATTAGACGGCTGTATTAGTATTATATCATCCTGTCGATGAGGTCCAGCCATCTTTACAGCATTTAAGTAGGATTACCATCACTATACATTAATCCACAACACTCCTCTAATCTCATATACTATAAATGTCCTTTCTGTTCATGGTTCTGCACATGTTCTTTCTGCTCTCTAATGACAAACTGCCCTGCTTTCTGCTTTCTCTGCTGGATTTACACCAGCATTTGCACACTGATGATCCGTAAAGCCTGAGCTTGACCATTTGACCTTGTTGTGGGAGCGGCTGTTGTCAGTGTTTGGCTACAAAGGTCTTGGAAGGTATTAGATGTGATTTCTAACAAATCTAAGCTGTGATTTTCAAACATGCGGCCTAAATGCACTCTGACGGGGTCAGAAGGTGAAAGCTTTAAAGCGCCTTACTGTACCTTATCAAGCTTGGCTTCGATCTCCACCACCTCCGTCTCCACCTCATCAATATTAGCCCTGGAACACAAAACAGATGATGACGTGAATTATTTTGGCTCGACAATCGTAACTTGATGAATGACAAAGAAAGAAACAGATTAACAGCAGATTTCATGGGATCTACATTTCATTCTTCATTTCGTATTCACTCGAAATAGTTTGTGACAATATCATACTGTCATACTAATCTTACTATATTTGCAGTATATAGTATACACGCTCACCAAATTTGCTAAAATGTGCAGTATACAACAAATCACACTGCATACAAAACTGTATCCCATAATGCAATGTTTTTTTTGTCATTTTAGTGAAACTGAAATATATATATAAATATATAATTAAATATTTAATTGGATAATAAAAAGGGAAGAGGCAGATTTTCTACTTGTAAAAAGGTAGAAAAAAAACAAGGCTGAAGCTGCAGTTTTTATTAGTATGAATGTAAAAGTGTAGTATGAATTAAATATTGTATTGCTAAAAATGAGATACAAACAATATGCAAAAACCTGGACTTTTATCAGAATGATGTACTTTCTCACAGCCAGTAAAGTACACACTTTTTAGTGCATACTGTAGGACGAGTACACATATAAGGCACAGCCATTGTGTGACTTAATGGTGCTTTCATGTGAGATTTACTGTAATTATGAGCTTCTGAATAGTAAAAACTTTTCATATCTTTGTCAAATTACAATTTGCCATTTTAAGGCAGCTGCGACATGTAAAAACAACCAAAACGACAGCAGCTTCAACAGTTCAAGTCTTTTTATCTTGTAATTATGGTCATCCTGACGAGACCTGAACACACCAGTATTCTCAGCAAAGACTACTGACCAATCAGATCTGACCTTCTCTTTTCAGAAGGGCTGAAATTACAAGTTGCCGTCTCCTCCCTCTTTCCATCCTGCAGTCTTCCTGCGTGAGAAGGCTTTTCCTCTGAACTGTGAGGCTGTTTTAAAGCCTCAGGCTTTGCGTTAAGCCATATCACTGAGATCGGAGATATTTTTCTGACTCTTATACAGGCAGTAATCTCTCTGTCTCTCGCTGTGCTCTGTGTGTGACGTGTTTGAGGGAGGCTGCACTGATGCACGTAGTCCACTTAAAGCAAAAGCAATTGTGCCTCGAGTACAGAGACACACACACTTGTGTCAGACAAGAGATGTTAATGGATGACGGACCCATTGTTCTTCCTCTCTACTGCGGTCCTTGGGCCATGGTAGTACATTTATTATTATTTTTTTTTTTAAATTAGACAAATCAGTCAAATATACATATATATATTAAAAAAATTATTAGAAATTCTAAATATGTACATTTATACGTTTATATATTTATGGCAGTGGAACAATTGTAAAAAAAAAATACACAAATTAGTAAATAT